CCAAACAAAGTTTCACACGTTATTTGAGTTGGCATTTTATATCTTTGGGGAATGATGCCATTTCCCTTAGTACAGTGGGAACATTACCTAATAAATGGAATTGAGACTCCAAGTGTTATAAAATCTAAGCTAAAAAGATTTCCAGTCATCAAGCTGTTTTAGGTGCACAAGTCCCCAAAGCAGGGGAATCTCAGCTGTTCCTGCCTCTGTGACTGGCAGCCCAGAAAAGGACAAAATGATGCCCCCTCTCCCCAGACCCCCTCGCTGGGTCAAGAATGCCTCCGCAGCCTAAAGGAATTTTCAGAAAGTTAAAACCACTGACTAATCAGGGGAAACACACCATTCAACACTAACCGTTTTAATTGTGTGTTGTTTTCTAAGAGAAAGAAAAGAAAAATGCCCCCATCCGCCAAGTGAGGGCTTGTAAATCAATGCTGATCGCTTAAAAATAGATTTCTCAAACTTATATTCTCATTTTTGTCCTGCTCGAATCTCTGCAGGAAAATCGATATTACAACTTCACACTTAAGACATTTTGCAGCGACGTAAAGGGCCTGAGCTGCCCAGGGAAGCCCATTCCTAGCCCATTGTAGCCAAGGCGCGGAGCCATGACACGGACGCCGAGCGCCCCCTAGCTGCCAAGAGGCGCCAGGCGCGGCTCGGCGCTTCAGCCTTGCCATCAACCAGAAGCCAATGCAACTGAAAGTTTATTTTGGAACGTCTTTTATCACAACAAGCAACAGAGATTGCAGAGCGATGGAGAAGGGAGATGAAAAGAAAAAAGGGACGGCTAGAGCAAGCCGCGTTCTAAGCGAAAAGGCACTGCCAAGAGCTCAGTTCTGATAAGGGTTTGGAAACTGGTGCACGCCGCAGTCAGAAACTGGTTTCTATCAAGGGGCTGTTTTGCCTGCTCCAACTCACTGAGACATAATGCTAACTAGTCAAATGCCCCCCAAGTTGGCCGTGGCTTGAGTCAAGAAGCCCAATGTGCTCCTGCAGAGGGGTCAGCAAAGCATCCCATCCAACCCTCTGTCCTCAGCTTCCCTCCCAGTTCCTGAGGCCGGTTTCACCGAAGCAACAGCACTCTCTCCAGCAGCTGAGAAAGGACTCGTTTTCTGTTATAAAAGATTTTGAAGGCCAGACAAAAATCCACCAAGGCCAGAGCACAGGCAAATAGCAACCTCTCCCCCTCAAAAAAAAAAAAAAAAGGAAGAATAAGAAAAAAGACATATGCATCTATACATAATATTCAGGGAGGAAAGAATACCCTTTTAAAAATATTAGGGGTTGTTAAAATATGCTCACGGCTGTTTTCTCTCAGGTGTGAATTACAAATGAATAAAATCAGCCTGGCATAACACCTTTGATGAACACATTTTATTCTCCCGTGGAATCAGAACAGCTGACTTATATCACACTTCTAATGATATGGGGTTTCCTTCTGTGCAGCAGGGAGACAAACTTCACTCCCCCCACCAACTAGCAAAAAAAGAGGGGCCTATAGCTTCTGAAATGTATCGGAGGCCCAATTTTGAAAGATCTGTGGACAACTGGAGACACACTACTATACCCTGGAGAGTTAAGATCACTGTGAACACAGCCACCTTCAAAACATACAGCTACAGCAAAACCTAATTTAAAGGCAACCATGGGATCAACACAGCCTAACTTCGGAGTCAAATCTTGAGTCTCTAGTTGTTTTTGCAAAATCGTGAATTCGTACGGAAAATTGCTCATCTTCCAAAGAAACCTGTTGGCGGGGCTGCTGAAAATCTCCTTTGCTGGGGTGGTTTAATTGACGGTGGACATCTTATTTTCTTCGGAAAGCCCGAGCTCCTTCATGGACTGGTGTTCATACCCTTCTCCACTCGCCCTGCGTGGCACAGCCGGCTCCTGGCCCTTCCCTCTGCCTGGGCATCCCTGCCCCTCTTCCTCCCCTCTTCACTATTGTCACTGTGTTGTTTTGTGTTTGTTTTTATTAATAGCTGTGTCTGTCCTCCAGTTTGAAAAGCCACATCCATCTGGGTCAAACATTCTGAAACAAACCAGAAGCCCAGGTTTTCATCCCCAGCTGTCTCCCACTCTTTCCTACCTCCCTCCTCTTCTCACTGGCCCTGTCTGTAAATGTAACTAGCTCGTTATGGAGCCCTCGACTGCCACCCCCACCCCAAGATTATGCAGGCTATTTCTGTGCTCTTGGTGTTTCCCAGACCATCAGTTATCCTAGGTTGCATCATCCCTAAAGAACCCGAGGCTGCTGCTCCCCAGGCCGGCCGGCTGCCACCCAACTGAAGCTGTACCACGTTTTAGGTGGTTTGTTTCACATTTAAAATCTCAAATGTGAACTCCAGGAGGGGCCTGGGACAGCACCCATTTTGCTGACCAGGGCCCAGAGCACCTTCGACCCCCACCTCCTTCATCTTCGTGGAGGGACACATCCACAGGCCGTGCAGTCTAAACTGCATCCAGTTCTTGCCTTTCCCCTGCCTGCTCTCCCACCTCCCGGGTGACAGGACAGACAGAAAAGCCAGCTGCTTTTTTATAATAAATAGCCTTGTCTGGAAACTGGTTGGACCACTCTCGCTGCTTAAACCCCTGCACATGCTTTGGGCTCCCTGTGCCCTGAGAGACAGGCGGGATACCCTTTGCCCTCTTGTTTCCTTGGCCCCACTCCCTTCTCCTTGGCCTCTCTTTTCCCTCCCTGCCACTGCTCCAGGGCTGGCGTTCCCCAGCACCGCTCTGAGCAAGACTAAGAGACTCAGAACAAATGAAACCTGGAAGGATGTCGCGCCAGGCACCCCTCGCCCCCCACCCCCAGCTGCCACCAGTCCTTCTGGTCCGGGCTTTCTCCTGACGTCCCAGGAATGCCAGAAAAGGAGAAAGCAAAAGCCAAGCAAACCTACCTGCTTCTTCCCCCTGACACACAACTGCAAACACGCCTGGCTGCTTTTTTGAAGCTGCTAGCTTAGCAATGCACCCCCCACGACTCCCCCTTCCCCAACCCTCCCCCAACTTTCCCCTCCTCAAAAACAACTCTTGCAATTATACAGAAGCTATCTGGGGCAAATTGCCTCCTGGAGAAATTAGGCTTCTGCAAGTACAGACATTCTAACCACCACTCCACCATAGAAAGGTGGGGGGCTGAGGGGGATATGCTATTGATTATTGGTAAAGGACAAAATGTCAACTGGCATAAAGGAGGACCTGGGTCAAACCAGGCTTAAATCTGGTTGCAAAACATTTTGTTTTCAATGCAACCAGTGAGTCCTCTTTCGTGTTAGAATGATGAAAAATAAAAGAGAAGTCCTTGTCCCTCCCTCCAAAGGCATCCCTCTCCCAAAGCGAAGCCCACTCTACTATATGCTACCCTCCCCCCCAAATAATAATAAATCCACAAATTCTTACTAAGGTATCTGCTGTAACAAAGGAGAGGCGGCAGCAGCAACTGCTCCGAGCAGATGGCTCCTATACTGGGTATTCAGGGGAGGAGAGAACCCCTTTATATATTTATTTATTTATTTATTTATTTATTTATTTAAATTTTTTAAAATATAACATAAATATTCGGCTCTCGGCCGCCCCGCAGCCAGTCCTCGGCAGCCACTGGGCGCGCAGTCCTCGCGCGCTCGGCGCGGGCAGCCCGGCCCAGCCCGACGAGGTGCCCGGAGGATTGCAGGGACACAACCTGCCGGCAGTCTCAGTGGCACCCTGAGGATGTTTTATTTCTATTGCAATAAATTAAAAAAAAAAAAAAAAAAGCAGCAGCGACCCAGGCACCGCGAGAGAAAGGATCGCAGGGCAACGTTCGCGCCGCGAGCAGCGGCCGGCAGTGCTGCGAGCCGACCTTCCCGGTGCCACTGTGCGGGCACCGGGGCGAGCTCCGCGGCCCAGCCCGTACCTGGCGCTCGCGCTCGCTTCTCCCTTCTCGAAATGCGCCCAACTCGGGCGCTGGAAGCGGCTGCCTCTGCCCCGCTGCCAGACTTTGCCTGCCCTGCCATTGGCTCGAAATCCCACGATTTCAGCCGCTGGATTTCCACTGCGACCTGCCTTGTTTATTTAGATAGAGAAGATGAAAGATACTGGGTTAGAAGGATGGGTAAGAGATTGATAGGTCTCTCTCCTTTTCTTTCCTTTTTTTCCTCTTTTTTTTTTTTTTCCCTACTACTATTTTACAAGTACATCCCTCGTTTCCCACTCCTAGCTGACAATCTACCTCCCCCCACCCCGTGGCGGGGATTTTTCATCAACCCCAAATCCCCCCACCTTTTTTTTGGAGTGGGGGAAAGAAGAGAAGATCATCCCGGGAGACAGCGGAGGTGGGGAGATGGGGAGGGGGGGCATGAGCCCGGCAAACAGCCGCGCAGCTGGATTCTTTTGCAAATAGCGAGAGAAGTGGCGAGAAAGGCGGCTGCGGAATCCTAAGACCGGCGTGGCCGGAACCCTGCCCGGCTGGGTGCAGCGACCGGGGACTCGGAGCTGGCGGCCGCCGATCGACCCGCGTCTCCCCCGGTCCTCAGCGCACCCCGCTCTCCTCCGCCCGCGCCGTCAGCGCGGACCCACGCGCTCGCCAACTTTTCCCCACTTCCCGGCTCCCCCCTCCCCCTCCTCTCCCCCAACCCCCTCCCCCTCCTCTCCAAACCCCGCCACCAGCGCCGCCGCCGCCACACACGCCGCTCGGAGGGGCGAGCGTCCAGCCCGGCTTCGCGCGCGCACACACACACCTCCTACAGCCTGCGCGCCCCCTCCCCGGCCGGGCACCCGCTCCGCAGCCCCCTGAGCCCGGGGTGCGTCTGACTGCGCAGCGCCCCGACTCCCCCCGCTGCAAAGAAACTTTCCTATGGCCTCCCGCCCCCCACCATGCTCTGGGCCAACGCCGCTGCCTCTGAGAGCTCGCGGGCCGCCCCGGCACCCGGTCCGGCTGCGCCCGGCTCGGTGTCCCCAGCCCCGGGCGCCCGGAGCCCCATCCTCCGGCCCCTCGCGCGCACGCCGCAGACACTTACGGGTGATGAGCTCCCTCTGGGACAAGTGCTGCGGGTTGCCCTGTTTGCGGCGGGACATTGCCCCGGCATCTATTCTGGCATCGCCCGGAGAGCTGCTCTGATGGGGGGAGCCGGGGGAGGGGGTCCGAGCTGCCGCCGCTGCTGCCGCCGCCGCGCCTCCTTCTCTGCCCGGGTTGCTGTTTTGGTTTTTGTTTTTGTTTGTTTTTTTTCCCCCTTCCTCTCTTGCCCTCTCTTCCTCCTCTTCTTCTTTATTTTGCTCTTTCTTCTATGCTGTTTTTTGTTTTGTTTGCAAAAAGAAAAAGAGAAGAAAAATCTCGATCTAAAATAGGAGAAAGAGGCCAAAAAAAATTCTGCTGTTGCTTGCCGCGGACTGGCTGGTTTCTTTAAAAATATATTCTTTAGAAGGAAAAAATCCTTTGCACTTCTTCAAACTGCTTGGCCTCCTGGACTTCCAAATGTCTTCTTGGACTTAAACCGGATTTTGCACCGGCTCCTGACACTTTCTTTCAGGGTCTGGTAGGTGGAAAGCGCACTTCTACCAGGAGAAGGGGGGAGAAAAAAAAATGCAAACAAATAAAAAATAATAATAATAAAAGAAAAAGAAACGAAAAAAAAAAAAGCAAAGAAAACTTGGGGACTTGTCTCGAACCCCCTCACCCCGCCCCCTCAAAAAACCCAAAGCAATGTAAAACTGCCCGGGTTCGGTTGTTTCTGGGTTTTCTGCGGGCTGCCTGTTTTTTTTTTCTCGGAGACTGACCCTTCCGAGGCTCTGGGGGGACTCCAGGAGCGGCTCCTTCCCAGTTCACCTGGCAGGCTGGCGCCGGCCGGAGAGGCTGCCGGGTCCCCGCGAGCGCTCCCCAGCGCTCCCCTGGCGCCGCGGGCCCGGGGGGAGCTGGGCTGAGGGGCGGCTCGCCCAGTGCGCCTGGGTCGGTGCGGGCGCGGACTGGGAGCTATAGATTGCAACGTGAAGATGGCGGAGTCCGGGTTCTCTGGGAGCTCTCGGTCTCTCTATGGCTGGGGCTGCCTCTGTACAATGGGATAAAATTCAAGTTCAAGTGCGGACGTGACGTTTAATCTGCACTAGAGAGACAAAAAGACCCAGAGAGTCGGAGCACTGGGGGCGACTAGCGGTGGCTTTTTAACATTGTACCCTGTAAGAACAAGAAAGCACACACACACACACGCACTCGCGCGCGCGCGTGCACACACACACACACACACACACACTCGCCCCTGTGCACACCCGCAGTCCAGGCAGGTCACACGTGCAAAAGACGTTTTTTGCACTACTCTCTTCCCCGTGCACTGGGAGCGCAAAAGGGGGCCAGGGGGCTGATGGGCCGGACATTTTAAAATAAAAGAAAATCCTCTTGTCCCTCCTCTCCTCCAGGGAGCAGGACCCCCTGAGAAGGGGGCGGAGTGCGGTGTGAGTTGTATCAAGGCTAATCCCCACCCACCAAAAGCTCTTTCTGACTTGCGTGGGAAGGGGGGCTATGGAAGAGAGTTGGGGTGGGCACCAAGACTGGGGGTTATGGTCAATTGCTTCATCGCCCTGGAAAGGATCTTGGTTGTTTTTACTTTTTGTTTTATTGGGAGATCTAGGTTAAACTTCCAGAAAAGTATCTTCATATAAATCCTGATATTACAAACGCTGGGAGAGCGAAGTGGATAAAATAAAAGTACTAAGAGAAGAGAATTAAGAGCACATTTGGGGGGAGGAGGAACGTGAGACCTTGTTTGAGTCCCATTCCGGAAACAGTATTCACCCAAATCTCTATGCTCCCACCACCTCACCCCTTTAACTCCTCCAGGTAAAAAATGGGCCCCACCCCCTAAAGCCAGGGTCTGTGGAAACGGGGGGGGGGGGTACTGGGGCAGGGGTGCTCCACGTGGGGCAGGAACTTGTACATGCTGACACAGAAGTAGGTATGGCCGGATATGCGAAAATACTCTGGTCCCCCAGTTCCCTCCCACCCCCTACAATTACTACAACCTGAAAAAAAAAAAAAATCCCCCCCAACCCCAGTGCTCCTCCGCCCAGGGCAGAACTTGAAATCGCCGGTCAGACTGGGAAGGACACAGCTGCCTGATCACCCGTTTGATCTCCAGCCAGCGAGGACGAGAGGAGTGGTGGGGGCCTGACCGTGGCCGGGGTACAAGGCCCCAGGCCGTGGTCCTTGTGGACATCCCCCTTCCCTGCCCAGGCCGAGGCCAACTTCGTCTGTTTGATGACCTGAACTCCCGGGCTGGGCGCGCCACGCGGCTGCAGCGCTCTCCCTGCTCAGGGTTTCTCTGGCCAGGGCCAGGAGGCGGCCAGGGCGGGTCGGGGCCTGGCTCGGGGCTGGGCTTGGCAGGCTAGGGGAGCTGCACCCACCCCACCCCACCCCGCCCCCAGGCCCGGCTCCTGCGGCCTCACCGGAGCGAGGGGCTGGGCCGGGACGCCTCCGGGCGCGCCGCCTCCCTAAGGGCCTTTTCCTTCGGGGGCACACCAGGTTTTAGTTCGCCCCCAAGGTCTTGGGGGCGGGGGGGCGACGGTACCAACTTAACAGAGCGCAGCGCCCATTAGCGAGAATAGAAAGAGCTCTCTGCCCAAACCACCCGCCCCCAAGAATAATAAAAATAAAATGTGCCCTAGCATGTAGTTTTTCATATGGGCTGCAGGGTCGCCGGCCGAGCGTACGGAGGGGGATGGGGTGGGGCGAGGCGGCATTCCCCACCGCCGGGTACTACAAGCAGCTGCCCACCACCCCCAGCCCACACCCCACCTCCACGTGGTCCAAAGTCTAGAAGCACCTCCCTCTCCTCGCACGCCGCCCTACAGCGAAAATCTTTCCAGAAAAGTGGCCTAAGTAAGAAAAAATGCCCACACGCACCTTTAATAAACTTATTGAGAAAACCTTAAACCGGCTATCCCAACTCGCCCAGATTCTTAAATTTGGGAAAGCATTTCGTTCTCTTTCTGAGAACTGGCGTTGTGAAGTCCAGAGAAGGTTAGCGTTTTGCCCAAGTCACACAGCGCATGGGGCAGGTCTGGACTCAAATCACCCCGGCATGCCTACTGCCGCGCCACCTGGGTTCAGGCGCCCGAAATCCCGACCGTCGACCCTCGCCCTCCAGGAGTTGGTTACAAGGACGGGAACAGGGTCTGGGACTGGGGGGAATGGGGTAGCCCCCCTCAAGAAACAGACCCCTCCGCGAACTGCATGGGGCGCTCTGGGGCCCCAGCTGCAGCTGCCACCGCCCGAGCGCCGGGGCGGAGAGGTCTGGGGAAGGGGCACCCTCCGCCCCACCCCCGGCAGGAAGTAGCGGGCAGGGGGCGGCACGGGCCGCGACTGACAGAGAAGCGCTTCCTCATTGGCCCGGCACTGCCCCGACGGCGGGAAGAGGGACGCGCGGGCGGGCCAGCGCAGGGCCGGACAAGCCACCGCCCGCCGGCGCGCTCCACCTCGCGGCGGCCCGGGAGAGGAGGCGCTGGCCCCTTTGCCCTCCTCCTCCTCCTCCTTCTCCTCCTCCTCCTCCTGCTCCTCCTCCTCCTCCTCTCCCGAGAGGCGGCCGGGCGCAGGCTGCGAGCAATCCCAGCTGCCGCTCCAGTCTCCTGTTTTTCCCTCTGCCCGTCTGGCACGGGCATCATTAGCGCAGAAAGCTGTTAATGTCTGGTCGCACAGCTCCCCCTTTAGTCTTGCTGCGCTCCTGTCTCGCGTTCCAGGCCGGATCAATAGCCGCCTCTCCGCCGACCTTGACCTCTCCCTAGACCCCGCCCGGCTTCCGCAGCTGGCCCACACTAATGTTTCTCCACTCTCTTGATGCCCAGACAACAGGCGGGATGGGCGAGAAGAGGGTGGTGAGGCTGGGGCCACAGCCCTGTCTCTACCTTTTCCTCAGGATCCCAGGCAGGCAGGGGATCCTGTACCCTTCTGAGAAGGTCACAGCACACGCGCACATGTACACACACACACACACACACACACATCACAACTTGATCTACCAAGCCTTTGTTTAGAATCCATCCCCAGTAAAGGGGGGGGAGGGGGGTCAGGTGCTTAACATAGAAAATATAAAGGAAAAAGTGCAGGTGCTTATGTGGTCCCGAATAGTATAGAACTTCACACTCATTTCTCAGCACCTACCTGCAGCAGGCCTACTGTGTGCTGGACCCGGAGCTGAGGCTCTGTGCAGACCAGAATCAGATGTAAAGAAATGCCACACTTTCTGCACTATCTCTGAGAAAAAAGAGGGGGGGGAAGCAGATGTCAAAAAGCTTTTTGAACTCACAAATATTTCCCTGCTCTCCTCTTTCTAGCTTCGCAATGCATTCCAGCAGATAATCCCCCATATTCTCAGTCACTTTAAATTTTTTTATAGAACAGTTCAGAAATCATTTCATTAAATCGGGGTGCATTTGTATGAATCTCATGGGGGACTCTGACTCCCAGTATGCTGCCTGTAACACACCATGCAGCGGGGGCAGATGAACAGACCTTGACACCCTGCCCCCAAGCAGGGATTCTTGTTCAGATTCTTTGAAGGATTCTCATCCTTAACTCTTAGCTGAGGTGGGTCTCTAGATTCTACAGTGTTATCTTTGCCTTCTGGGCTGTTGTATTTTATATTACGTGTTTACAAAAAAATTGGAAAGAATCAAGATGAGTAGTGTCCGAAGAAATGGCAACTCCCAACGTTTCTGCATAAAATCTGTGCAAAGAGGAGGTGAGTCTTTGCGTAGTCACAGATATAGGGCCAATGCAGAAGCGAACTGTCTGCTGATTTCTGTTCCTCGGGATCTATAAATGCTATTGACTGAGAAGATGAAGATAAATAAAATGCATTGATCTGATCGGTGGACTGACTTGTTTTAACTTTCGAGGAAACTGCAGTGGAGGTATAAGCAAATCCGACTCGTGTACATATTAGTAAGTCTCCCAAGATGGCCTGATCGCCTTCCTTACAGTTCTAGAATCTCTAGGAGCTATCAAATCCCCAAGCATAAAAAGACAAAAGAGGTCTTTTGGGCTTCCTGGCATATCTTCGAGAATTATTTGATATCATTTCTGAAAATTACAGCAAATTTCTAAATGCCAGAAGTAGTCAGTGAAGGCTGTGCTCGCTAGGTTTGGAGGGGGGTTCGCATGGTCACCTTCCAACAATTTGGTTGGTTCTCTGCAGGTACTAAATTTAGCAACATTGCCTTTGTTCAAACATGACGCTATTTGTACCTTATTTGTTTCTGTAGCACTTGGGCTTGATAGGGTAGGTTTCTGTGTGGAGCATAGGTAGTGAGTTCTAGGGGACCTAAGAGGTACCATTGCCTGCAGCCTTTACCGCTGCAGCCTGCAAGGGGTTAAACCAAAGTCACTGTTTCTGAATCATGTATTATTTTCCTTTAAAAAAAAATACTTAACCCAGCTCTCCATATATGAAAAAGATTCACACCCACATGGAATGTTCCTCGCTCTGTCCCTGTCATCAGAAATGATATTGAATGGCTCAGTACGAGGGGATCTGGAACTATTTCTACAGCTTTCTCACCTCATTTGGAATTTTCTTGCCTTGCTAATTTTAATTCTTCAGTTGAGTCATCATTTCAAATTTGGTAGGGACTGGCATCACCCAGTTGGTCGACTTGGGAGAAATACTGTTCATGAAGATTATCCAACTGCACCAGATCCCACCCCCCATGCGCACAAAGATCAGAGCACTGTGGGGGGTGGGAGGGGGGGTGATCGACAGAAAGGGTCTCTCTGATGATTTCTCTCTTGTCACTGAGTCTCCAAATTGTAAGACTGAATGTGCCACACACACACACACACACACACACACACCAGTTTGAGT